GTAAGAAATGATGAAAAATTAGTGAGCAATATGATTAGGGTAAGTCCAACAACTGATAAAAATGAGGAAGCTTATTTACAAAAAGGAACTCCTCAATCATTTGCAGCGGCAGCGAACCGAAACCAAAACCGGGTACTTAAAAATAAGTTCCCAACGAAGCAAGCGAGTGTGGCCACGAAACCATCAGACAAATCGACTTCCGTAATTAGCTCAATTGTGAAGGAGATACCCGAACCAAAGCAAGTAAGAAATAATTCTGAGCAAATAACCGAAACTGAGGATATAGAATCTCAAAAGGAAGGAAACTGGATAATAGTAAATAAAAAGAAGAAAAGCAGATACCCTAATACTGAGGTAAAAAAAGGCGGAAGCACGAGTGCAGTAGAAATCAAGGGGACTGAACGGAAGAAATTTTTACATGTGTGGCGTCTCCATAAAGAAACCACGGTTGAAAACTTAGAAAAATACGTGAAGAATATATGCGGAGAGGAAGTACCAGTCACAGTGGAAAGAATCAGGCATAAGACGGAAAGGGATTATTCTTCCTTTATTATTGGTGTACCTGAAAGCAGTTATGACATTTTATATCAATCGGACAATTGGGCTGTAAACATCGAATTCAGTGAATGGGTATGGTTTCGTAGAACAACCAAAAAAACACTCAATAAATAGCACAGCTATTGAAATTTACTACCAAAACGTGAGAGGTTTACGTACGAAATTAGAGGACTTTTATGTAGGCGTCTCATCTTCAGGAGCAGATCTATTTGCCATTACTGAGACAGGTTGTAACAAATCCATTCACGACGCAGAACTTGTTCCGCCGGGATACACAATAATTCGCTGCGACCGCGCGGATGGAAGAAAGCAAGGAGGCGCGTGTCTCGTGGCCACACCGCGTTTAGAGCTGCGGCGAGTGGCGAGTCCGAGTGACGTCAACATCGATGACGAAGTGTTTGAACTGATCAGTGCGACCGTCTACCTGCATAACAGACTTTTATTTCTATTGTGCGTTGTTTACATTCCGCCGAACAGTTGTGAGAATGATTATATGATACTGTTTAGAATAATAGAACAACTGTGTAGTAAATATAGTGATATCGTTGTGATTGGTGACTTCAATATGCATTCCTGTTCTATAAACGTATGTAATTATTTTCAATATTTTTTATCTTACTGTAGATTTACTCAGTGTAGCACGATTGTTAATTGTAATGATCGGTGTTTAGATTTAGTGTTAAGTACGCTTACAAAGGGAGAGAGTGTGAATGTGCGCGAGGCAGGGGCGCCTCTCGTACCTGTGGATGCATACCACCCGCCACTGGATGTGTTGGTGAAACTGTGGCCGCGCCGAGTCGCAGGTTCATTCCAGTGCGAATCGAGTACTGTTTCCCCAGGTTGGAATTTCAATAAAGCTGATTTCGCTTCAATGTACGCGTCAATAGGAACTATAGACTGGACTGATATTTATAACCTTGATTTAGAAATGAGTTTAGATTACTTTTATGAAACAGTCAATTCCAAAATAGATGACTGTGTTCCCAGAAAACAGCGATGTCGGGTAAGCTCGAAGTATGTTTACCCCGAGTTTTACACTATTGAAATAATTCGTAACATACGACGTAAGGCTATTCTCCACAAGCTGTATAAGGCAAGTAGGACCAAGAATGATTACGAAGCGTTCGCCCTGTGTAGGAGTAAAGTAAAACGATTAATAAAACTAGCACAAGAGCAACATACTAGCAGGGTTCAAAGTCAGCTACAAAAAGATCCACAATCCTTCTGGAATTACGTGAACTCCAGAAAAGGTAGTCGAAATACACAAAAGATATTAAAGAACGGGGCAGTGTTGTCTGATGAACAATGTGTGAAAGAGTTCGCCCAGTACTTTCACTCGGTGTATAGTACGATACGACCCGAGTTGAACGTTAATACTGCGATAGAAGGAGCGGGCGATGAGAATGGTGTAGCGCGGGTTCATCTAGATAACTTACAGTTGGGGGATGTGCGGAGTGCGCTTAAACATCTTAAGCCGAAGAGGTCCGCAGGTCCGGATGGCATTCCGGCGTACATTCTCAAAGACTGTGGATCTGTGCTGGCTGAGCCGTTACTCCATATCTTCAATAGATGTCTGAGCGCGGCTGTGTTTCCCAAGAGATGGAAAACTACTCGTGTCGTACCGATACCGAAAGGAGGAATAGGCAACGACAATGTTAGTGGGTACAGACCCATTGCGGTACTGTCGTCACCGGCTAAAGTGTTAGAGTGTGCTATTCATAACAGCCTTTTTATGCAGGTGAAAGCACAACTTTCAGATGCCCAACACGGGTTTCGACCAATGAGGAGCACTACCAGCAACTTGCTCAGTTACATGGCTCACTTGCTGCCGACAGTGGATAGTGGAGGGCAGACTGACGCTGCTTACTTCGACTACAAAAAAGCATTTGACCTAGTCGATAATGACGTGTTGCTCAAGAAGTTAGCAGCTGTTGGTTTCACACCACATCTACTTAATTTTTTTGCCAGTTATATGAGGGATAGGCAGCAGTACGTAGAATACGCGGGACACAGATCGGAGCCGTATTTTACGTGGTCTGGTGTAAGTCAGGGAAGTAATCTCGGTCCTCTGCAATTTATAATCATGATGAACGATTTGCCCAAAGTCGTTAAAGAGGCAAATTGTTTAATGTTTGCAGATGACCTTAAGTTATCTCTGACTGTGAAGGAAGAAAGTGACTGTGGACGGTTACAGAATGCCATTAATAGTGTAGCTAATTGGAGCAAGGAGAATCTTTTACAGTTCAACATCAAAAAATGTGCTACAATCACGTTTTCACGTGCACATAGGCCTATTGTACATAGTTACAACATTGATGGAATGCCAATGGTCCGGGTCACAGAAGTTAAGGATTTAGGAGTTACTCTCAACGCGGGGCTAACGTTTCGTGATCACATTACTAAGTGCTGTAAAAAGGCTTACAGAAATTTAGGGTTCCTTTTACGAACTGTTCGTACTTTCACAAATGTAGCAGCCATTATCGCCTTATACAACGCTTTAGTGAGAAGCCAATTGGAATGCAACGCAGTCATCTGGGCTCCGCATGAGACTAAATATAGTCTCATGTTGGAGCGGATACAAAACAAATTTACTAGGTTTTTATATTTTAGGCTATATGGAGTGTATCCTTTTTATCCTATTATGTATCCAACTTTGTTTGTGTTGGGCATGGTGGGATACAACGAACTACGAGTCAGGCGGGAGCTCACGCTTGTGTCATATTTATTTAAGTTAATTAGGGGTAAGGTACATCACGCAGATATATTATGTTTACTGTGTTTGTGTGTGCCGGACAGATATGTGTGGCGACGACGTCGGCCTCACCTGCTGGCAGTACCTCGTGGTCGCACTAATTTATTGAACGAGGCGCCGCTGACACGGGCACTTCGCACTCTCAACCTTGTAGCAGAGGAGACAGATATTTTTATTTGTACGCCGAATGAGTTCACAAGGATAGCATTATATGTTATTTGTTATAAGTAGGTATTTGTTATAAGTATATATATGTTTACTGATGTGTGCTTCACTATCGAATTAGGTAGTAACCTGTAATGATAGTTGTAAGTTGTGATTGAAAATAAATAAATAAATAAATAAATAAATAAATAAAAAAAATCCACGGGAGATACTATGGGGTGGTGGATAATTCTTACACTGTCACTAAATGGTTCATTTATTTTAGACAGTTTATTTTAAATTAACCAATTTTAACTGTCAATTTTCAGATTTCCACGGGAACTGTCAAGATACACAATGCTGGTTCACCGGCATGAGAAGAAAAACGACGAAAGAACGCGCATCATGTACGAGAACAAACTCAACTACGACAAGGACGGCCTCAACTCTGTAGACTATGTTACCATCAATGTCAAGAGAAATAGGCTATTCACACTGATTGGTGTAAAATTATAATCTCTTGAAAGCTAGGTAGTTTGGTTAGTTTAGTTTACGACGGGCTGTTTTCCAAAAACTCCACGTCTAAGCGCGTATTTTGCGTGCACGGTGGAATAATGTGATTATTCGAACCACGAAATCTCCCCGGAGAAGTTCAACAGTACTCTGATGTTGCTAGCAACTTCGGGGAGTGATCCCGGCGTGCTGAGATGTTTAGCCCTGTATGCAGCGACCTCAAGACATGTCTGCAACATGTGCGCCACCATTTCCCCCTCCCCTATACATGCCTTGCACAGGGGACTACCATTAATAATATAAATAGGGGATAATATAATAGGAGAGTAACATTCATAGAATACTATAATACATACATAATAGAACGGGGGGTGGGCGGAGCCCGTGTAGCCACTAAAATTTCACTAACACGTCAGTTCACACGTATAAACGTCAACACGAGATGTGTTTTGATATTACAATCGTTTCCAAATTTCCCACGCAAATTATTTAGAAAATGCCAAATGCACGCTATTTACAAATATGTATTAAAATCTGTCCGTCAACACAGCGAATCGGTAATAGTAGTGATAATACGACGTTATTGCTTGTATGTGTGCTCCCGGCGACGCCTATCGTCATATAAAATAAGGTTGACAGCCATTTTGTTGTGTATTATAGTATTCTATGGTAACATCTATAGTAAAATAAATGTTTTAATGGAACCGTGTCCCATAATAGCACTTGTTGCTATCCTGATCTGTGAAAGCTGGGTAAGATTACTCTTGAGTTTAAAAACTTTTTAAAGAAAACAAACGAACGAACGAATGACGGTAAGTGTCTACTGCTGCCCATGGACACCTGCAGCCATCTTCAGACAAGGAAGACTATAGATGTACAGCAGCTCTTTAATCCGAACCCCGAAAATTTACCCCCGATAATAATCCGAACGCTCCACGAATCCGAACGGGAAAAATATAGGGTATTTTTATGGAATAAAACAAATAGTATTGTGAAATTTAAAATGTATATTCATCTATAAACGTTATATTTATTAAACTTTTTTAAAGAAATCCAATATTTTAGTTTGTCGGGAGGTATTTAATGACAAATAAAAAGCTTTATCGCGCAATTTACGTAAAAGCATTTTTTCTGGCAAAGGAATGTCCACTTGGTCAGCCCATTCAAGACATGTATTTAAGGCAGACACCGCGCTTGAATTGGAAACGCTTGCTACTGGTTCAACGTGCGATATTTCTTCACTTTCGCCGTCACATTCCTGCGTTACTTGCCTTATTATTTCATCATCAGTAAGAGGTTCAGTTTCATTAAGGTCATCATTGCCTAGTAAGAAGTCATTAATTGCAGCCTCAGAAAAGCCTCTATTAACGAAAAAAGCTAAGGGAACCTCATCTTCGGGTTCAAAGTCATCGTCTGTATGTTTTTCGACGTTTAATTGAGGCCACAAGGGTAACCAAGATTTGTTTATTAGGTTCGCATTCAACTGATTCCAACTTTCAGCCAATGAGAAAACAGCTTCTTTCATAGTGGTCTTCTCAAGTATATCGGATACAGTACGTTCAGATTCCAATTCCTGTTGTGCAAAAACTTGAAGCAAAAGTTTTTTCTTGTAATTCACCTTTATGTTTTGAATAACGTTTTAGTCCATTGGCTGGATGAGAGCTGTGCAATTGAGAGGCATGTATAAAATTCTGAAATTTTCATCAATGGTTTGCAGGTCTTTAAAGGGGTGCCGGCGCATTATCAAGAAGTAATATCGCTTTCAGTGGTAGATTCTTCTTAGATAAGAATTTTTTTACTTCAGGGATAAAGTATCCTTTAAACCACTCTAGAAATATAGGTCTCGTCACCCATGCATTCTTTTGCCCCATGTAGTGTACTGGTAGCAGGTAGCTTTCGTACGGATGCAAAAGCACATGGCTTTTGTACTTTGCCAATGACCAATAAAAGCAGTTTGTGCGTCCCAGCAGCATTCGCACAGGGCATGAATGTTATTACTTCTTTGGAAACTTTAGAACCTGGGGCTCTAACTTCTAAGTCAGATGCCAGTGTTTTGTCTGGTATTGTTCTCCAATACAAACCAGACTCATCTGCGTTATAGATTTGCTCTGCGGACAAATCTTTCTCCTTGATTATGTCCATGAATTTATCCTGGAATGGTTTTACGGCGTCTTCGTTGTTAGACAACTTCTCGCCGGTTATTTTGAGTTGTATTCTGTGTCTTTTTTTTTTTTGAATTTTTACAACCAACCTTTACTGGCATAAAACTCTCCTCGCCCAAGCCTTTCATGAAAGTATTTCGCCTTCTCCATCAAAATATCACCTGACAAGACGTTTTTTCGTCGTTGTTCTATAAACCACGTAAACAATGCATCTTCAAGTTGTGAATTTTAGAGCGTTTTTAAAGTCTTTCGAACACCTGGCCCCTTTTCAGTTCTCACAACGTAAGATCGTATCTGTTCTTCCTTCTTCTCAAGGCCATGTATTCCTGCAAAAGTAGGCATTTAGCGCTGTCCCGGCCGCGCACGAATTATTTCGCGCGGACTCCGCGGCAGTGATCTTGCATGACCCCACCAGCGACACGGTATAGAAATAAGCAGTAGGATGACTTTTTTATTTGACTTTACAAATGCATTTTTTATGATCAAATTTTTTTTTATTATAGCTATAAATTAGAGTTACATAAACGAAAATTAACAACTAGTCGCTTTTGATAGGTATGGAAACTGTATGAGTAGAGAACTGTTTTTAAGTTTCGTGTGAACACACAATGCTAGGGGAGAAAGTCAAACTTACAGTGAAATTCATTATAACTATTAAAACCACAGGATTTATATTTATAGCACGCAATATTTAGTATGTGAAACCACATTGCACATAAAAAACATGGGTCTCAATATCTACTCTGCCCCCTTAGGTCGTTATGACCACATGATTTATTCATTTGAAATGTCATTTCCATACATGTATTACGTTTCTACTAGCGTTTACGATTGTAGAAAGACATCTTGGCTAAGGGGGCAGATTTGTTTAAACAGTCACAGTATTTTTTCTTCTTATACTTACGGTATGTTTTATTTATCTCTGTAAAAAAACTTTATTTTAAGAGAAATAACTTTATTTCAAAGACTGCTTGGCATGAGATGAATAAAGAGTTACAAATAAAACATTTTATTTTTATTTTTTTTTATAATATTCTTACTCATTCTCTCATTCTCAAAATTCTTCAGAATTTATATCTTGTGTGCTTGTATCCGGTTCCAAATCTGATGGTGGCTCAGGAGATGATAAGGCTATGGACTCTAAAGAATTATTTCCCGTTTGTGGTTCAGGTGATGGTAAGGCTGGGGAGTCTAAATAATTTTCATTTTCGTTGTCACCTTATAAGGACAGCAGTCTTGTCGGCATTCCCATTTGTGGTACGGGTGATGGTAAGGCTGGGGAGACTACTAGATAGTTTTCATTTTCCTTATCACCTATAGACAGCGGTCTTAACGGCATTCCACGTGCGTGTCTACTGTCTACAATTTCCGGCGTAAAATTTGACCAATTTTGGCTCCATTTGCGTTTTCCAGAAATTAACGTCTCGATGCGTTTTGTAAGCAAGGGTTCGTTTTCTCCAGCCCAAATACCGAGCAGACAGTCGTCTTTCAGTGACGTGGAGCTGCCCCTGTATTTGATAGAACCAATCAGATTTTTTATTTATTGTGCTGGTGCAAGCTTTTTTGTCATATTTTATAATTTGAATTTTATTTTGCTGTATTGCACTTGTAACTCCATTTTTTGCTGCAGTTAAAAGGCACTTGATTTCGACTAGCATATCATCGCCTACTAATCCATCTGGAGTTGCTCCAGTAAATGGATAAGTTTTATCTATGAACAAACCGCAAGACATAATATTTATATTTTCTTGTTTTTGTAGCTGTTGAAGTGCTTGCTTTTCGTGCTCTACTCCGTGTGCAACAGCAGCCACACGTGACAATTTTTTTTTGATACAGTATATTTTTCACCAAAGGCGCAGTATTTAGACTAATTATTCTTTTAGATATTTGCCCAAAATTAGATGCGGTGATTAGGTTTTTCCGTATTTCAAGCCATTCACTACTATCTCGTTGCAAAACCGTAGCTCTCTCGATAGCATGCCTATCAGAAGTAAGCATTTTTAAATTATTTAAAAACTCTTCTTCCGCTTTCTTTAATTCATGGGGAGACATATCTGGTGCTGAGCTCGCTGGACCATAGTCATGTTGCTTCTGATTAACTTGTTTTAATTTCCGTATTTTTTTTACCGGATGCTCCAAGTTTACTTTCGTTTTTGTGCTCTTCTTCTTTCAATTATCTTTACCCTGCCTTTAGGACTTTTATTTAGAAAAGCTTTTTGGATGGCTGAACGTGTGGATTTGCAATTGAACGAAACAACAGCTGCTGAGCACCTGCCTTGGTAACCTCCTTTCAGTGCGTAATTTGTTCTTTTCCCACCAATAAATTTAGCGATGACACTATTAAAACACTCAATAGTGTTTGTTTCGACGGTCACATTTTCGGTCTCATACGGTCTGGCTTTGAGGATTGCAGCGTAAGTAGAAGCATCTCCGTCTCCTATCATTCGTTCATATATAACGCCATACATTGGGATCGACGCCTTGAAACCTTCTACAATTATTTCGGTTTCCATGGAGCTAGAAGAACCTGTATATTTTTTAAAGCATTTGTGTGGCTTTGGTGACATATTTTTGTGCTCAGCTCGAGCGCACACTAAGCAATATTTGTTTTTTATTACAATGTAAAGGACTTGGCCTGTTCTTCTGCCGATTATGGCTGCTGTGCCCGATGACGCTTTATAGTTTGTGCCGTAAGATCTAGCACACCATGAGCCGTCAACGTAGATATCAATCACAGGAATGCTGTTCTTAGTTCGACCTTCTGCGATAGCGATATCCTTCTCCATTTGAGCTGCAGCTTCCATGGAAACACTTGCCGTCTTTTTCCATTTTTCAAATACTTCATCCTCTAATTTCGAATAGTATTTTGAACTGAAAACTGGAATATCCATAGCTGAACATAATTCTTCAAATTGAGAGAAGCCGATACCGGAAGCCACAATTCCAGTAGTAGCAGCTATATTTAGATTTACTTGTTCTTTGTCGTTATGGTCTTCAGAGTTAATCAAAAAAACTTGTTTGCACATATTGCATTCAAAACGATAAACCGATAAAAGTCCTCGACGTTTTTCACTAATTAAACGGAAGTTACCTAATGTGCAGTTAAATAGATCGTCATGACGAGCTTTTTCTTGTAATTCTTGTAAAATATAGTTTATCGCCGTCTCGAAACAGGTTGAAATTCATCTTCTTTATGTTCATTCTCTACGATTAGGGGATTTTCTCTCTTTTCAGTATCTCTGAAACAATGAACGCATAGCTTTTGCCCCCTGCTTATTTTTCTATCCCTCGGGAACAGTATCTTTTTTCTGGATGAAGGGATTTCTGTACCTACTATATGAGGTATAAATTTTTAAAAGTTTTTGATGTACAAAATGTAAAGTTATACACTGACAAAGAAAGAGTTTGGCTGTAAAACCTGTGTGACAGACATCAGACAGACAGACAGACGGACGACAGAATGACAACAATAGGGCTCCGCCTAGACCCTTTGGGTACGGAACCCTAAAATCACTATCCCCTTTTTTTAGGGTTCCGTACCCACAGGGTAAAAAACGGGACCCTCTTACTAAGACTTTTCTGTTCGTTCGTCTGTCTGTCACTAGGCTATATCCATGAACCGTGATAGTTAGACAGTTGAAATGTTCACAGATGATGTATTTCTGTTGCCGCTATAACAACAAATGTTGAAAACTGGAATAAAATAAATATTTTAGGGGACCCCCATACAACAAACGTTATTTTTTGGCCGTTTTATAGAAATTGGTACGGAATTCTTCGTGCGCGAGTCCGACTCATACTTGGCCAGTTTTTTAATCTATGTTAATTACTTACCTATTTTCAGTGGTTTCGGCAGGTAGCAGATTTATTTCTGTTGCGGTGTCCATGTCAGTATATTGAGGCTGCTCCAATGACCTACAATAAATGGTAAATGGAGTACCTATTAGTTTTAGTAGGTATTAACTTTTCGTTTGCAAACGGCAGGTAGAGCTACCGATATAGACAAAATATAAATTATCACAAATCATAGCGATATTCAGTAGTCTTACTGATATTCTGATGCACAATGGCACTATGACCGTAATTTTAGTCATGATATTTTTATAAAGTACAAATTAGACATTGAAGTAAAATAAAATCTAACCTAAGGTAACTAGTTACATTTTAGTTTGTGAACGACCAAATTATACAAATGTTTACTTACTTCTTTACGTATCTTTGGAGTGCATTTTTTATTCGTTATTTTTATGGCTTTGCACGACTTTTTTCGCTTGCGTTGTTTATTGCCCATTATGAATAACTAACAACAATTATATGAACTCGTCAAAAACTGATTTATTGGTGCACGGAGAAAACTGACACAGGTCCGTTGTCCATAAGCGCCAGCGCGCGACTGGTCAGGCTAAAAGTTGTTCAAAACGACTATAAATCAATAGCACGCTACAGACTATAAACTATAAATTTCTAGCGCGCTATTAAATACGCTATGTTATAGCGCGCTATTTATAAGAAAGCGTGTAGGAGGCCGGTAAGCGCGTTAAGTTTTGCAGCACGTTATATCTCTTAGCACGTTACATTACATGTCGTTCATTGGATAGATCGCGTGCTATATAAGAACATTATTTCGTAATAAGTCGCATTTTAGACTAAAATAAAATAAAGTGGTAAAGAAAAACCAATGCACGCTTTTTCATACTTTTCAGGCTTACTACTTTCTATAATCCTAAAAATATTTTTAAGTCATGTACTTTTTAAAATAGGATTAATTTTATTTTTAGAATCGAAATAAAATTAATTATTTTTATTATAATTGATGTAAACATTATAATAACCTTAATATAAATTATAAATCAAATAAAGGTGTATTTAAAAGTTTATTTATTGTATTTATAAAAATCAATTATTTACATACACTATTTTGTATCTATATTTTATTTACATTTAAAAACATTAGTTAGGCTTCTTTTATCACAACTGTGTCCTTTGATCACTTATAAATATACAGTATACACTAACTAAACAACGTCTAACATTAAATTAGGTTGCGCGCGATGAATAGCGCGCTACGAGATCAAATTTGCATCACACGTCCTCTCCCACCAGCGCTGCTGCTAGAACTAGTTGCCGCTAGATATTAATACTTAATAGCGCCAAAGCGCAATAGCGCCATGGCGACTACTTACACAACACGCGCTATGTGTTATGAAGAGATAGCGCGCTATAATATGGCGCTATGCGCTATATTAACCACCATTAGTCAGGCTTGCCGTGCCGCCGCGCTCGCGCTTCTAGAAGGTATCTAAATATAGTAATTAACACAATATTTTTATCAAGTCAAACTCTGCGAATTTGTCTGTAAAAATTAAGTGGCTTTAGTTGAGTACAAAATTTAAGTGTAAAATGTTAGTAGTTTAGTCATAATATTGAAAAAACAATACAAAAAGGGGTCACTTCGGGATTTTTTTCTATCGAGTGAAGTTCTTTAGATTTTGACTAGACTAGATCCTTAACTAATACATATATTTTTTATCAGAATTTAAAACACTAATTTCTATGCCTCAGATTGTTTAAAAAACTCATAAGCGCGGCCTCAGCGAAATACCTAGCCTTAATATCAAAAATCGTAGATTTGCCAACACCATACTTCAGCGCAAGAAAACTAAAAGAAATACCTTTCTTGATTTGATCCAAGATCTCGCATTTTTGCGAAATAGGGGTAACGTGTTTCCTTTTCTTTGGCGTCGAAGCCATGATGTAAAAACACAAATAACTGTCGAGATGCACGAGCGACGCAATATCAACACAAAATGGCGGACAATAACAAATGCGCGTGACACCTACTCGAAATTTGGTAAGCAATTGGCGAGACGCAGACGCGGCGATTGCGGGGAGTGAAAAAGCGCGGGCGGGGGCGTTCGGATTACAGAGGTGTTCGGATTAGACGGGGTTCGGATTACAGAGGTCCTGCTGTATTGTCACCTGTGAGGATTAAGATGGAATGCCTCACAACTTGTAATTATACTGACTTTCGTCACCCTTAAGTCTTTCTTTCTTCCCCTACCTATTTCTGCTGACGAACATTGCTATTTGTCACAAGAAATAGGTAAGACCTAATGTCGTTCAGACCGAATTTCGGTCACGGCGGCCAGTCTCAACGGAGACTAGCCATCGGCGCAGGACAGAATTACATTCCCCAAGTGTATACGCAAGCACAGGTCCGATGGGACGGTAAACTGACACGACCGGAACGAGATGAGGCACAGGACCAACGGCTTTACGTGCTTTTCGAGGCACGGGGGCTGAGACACCGTCAACTGCGTAACTCTGGGCAGCTACTGAGAATTTCTTGATAAAAAAAAAACCAACAACTAATTTTGGCCCTACCTGGGGTTCGAATCCAGGACCAGAAAATATGCAGACATTATCTATCAAACGGTTTAAGCAAAAACTGTTTAGTAAGCATTATTATACTACTAAAGAGTACACAATTGATAACAACCCCTGCGCTCCCAGCTACTGAGAATTTCTTGACGGAAATACTTTATAATTGATATTTTTGGCCCGACCCGGGAGTCGAATCCAGGACCTCATGATCAGCAGTCGCACTACTACAACCACTATACTAACGAGGCAGTCAGAGGGTGGTACCTACTAGAAATGTGTCAATCGTGAATAATTCGTCCAATGAACCGAGACCCGTAAAAGCGTAAGAGTATTGATGATTGCATTCTTATGTTTTGAATGTTCCGGTTACAAGAGAAGTCCTAGAAAAGGAAATTTTGTGACAATTAAACATTTAATTTCGTAAAATACGTAAGTCGATATGGATAAAATTTTTTTAGACGCTAACGTTCATGGCTGTCGCAGCTATAAAACAATTAAGGACTAGGTTTGTGAACGTGCAGTGCGCATTGTCGATAGATTTTTGAAGATTTTTTCTTAACCCTTAACCACTTACCTCTGTTTTCTGTCACGTATAGTGACCGCTCCAGAGTTATCGTCATGTTTATACTATAATCAGGTTAAAATCGGAAAGGATATATGAAAACTACATAGATATATACTAATACTATTTATTGAAACTAAAAATAACTCTGCCATTTAAAACCTAGTATTTTTTGCTAGCCTCTTAATTAACCCTTAAAAATTTTACTTCTTTAGAAAATAAGATTTGTAAAAAAAGGAACTTGGAAATTGTACTTATTGAGACTAATTTTAGTTAAATTAATAAAGTAATTACTTAATGAAATCAAAAAAAAAACAAAAAACTTACATGTTTAAAAAAAAAGTGCTAAAAATTTAAATTTTTTCGCGGCAATTACGGCACATCTTTTGCGAACATTCTACGCATATTGGCTTTTTACATACAGAACAAAGGTGAAATGTTTTACGTTTTTTTTAGGGTCGCAGGTTGAACTGGTCTTGCGAGTTTCCAGCTTGTCAGCACCGGAACTGCTTGGTATTTCTTCTTCTACTTGAAGTATTCGGCCAATAGAACCTCTGATATCCGCGGATATGTTCATTCGTTCTTCGTCGCTCCATGTGCGGTCGTGTTAACTGTTCTGCCAATTTTTTATGAACTTGAATCTACTTCCGGTCTTTTGCGCCTGATTAGACAAACTGACAATGTAGGGATTTGAAAGCGATATGTCCAACAATCTATAAAAAATGACCATTGGCCATCTTTAAGTACGACGAGCTGTAGAATAATTTGAACACCTTTGATCCAGTAAATCGACGCCTATTTTCGTTTTATTATAGTACATAATGATTTCTGGTTTTTTTTGGTATTTTTATCAACGCTTGCTGTATGGTGCATGCTCGAAATCATAATAACAGCCTTGTTCTTATTTGGTACATAGGATGACAAAGTCATATCTTTGGTGAAACCGAAAACCGATGATTCAACTGTCCTTTTCTTAGATGCCTTAAATTCTGGTGATATTTCGCGCTTGTTTTTTTTTTTCAAAGTACCAACAAGAGTCAATTGTTTATCTTTCAAAACATTGACTAGTTCTACGGAACA